TATTTGGTCTTATTTTGTCGATTTATTTTTGTCTTATTTTGTTGATGATGATTATTATTATTGTTGTTGTTTTCCTGCTGCAGCTCGAGTTTGTCAATTCTAGTTACTAGTTGGTCAATCTCCTCGATCGGTCGGGAGAACAATAGTTGTTCTTGTCTATCAGCCCAATTTTGGTTACTGTAACTAAGGATGAAGGTAAACATATTAATGTTTTTTTGTTTTGATAGTCCATGTTTACTATTAGTTGTTATTATAGTTGGTCAATGAAGAGGGAAGAACTGTGTAAAACCAAAAGCAGACCCCATCAGTGCCCTGAGGCCTACGTGAAGGACGCTGGCATGGAAGGCCTGTTTGAGGTGTGGCCGGGTCGGTGGACAGCCTGTGGGTGTCAGTGGGATTTCAAATTAGGTGAGTTATGATATATGAGTTTCCACTAAAGAATCTACCATGGTAATTATATAGTTTGTTTTGTTTTAAGCTACTTTAAACTAGTGATTTATCATTTGTATCTATGAATGAGTAACTAATTGCGTTCGTGGGAATATGAATATCAGTGATTTCCCACTACTTTGGCAGAATTTAGATCTGTAATCTATTGGAAACTGCTAGAAGTAGTGAAAAATTGACTTCAATTGCTTCTAGGGGGTTTAGATGGGAAAAGAAATATGAACCAATAAGAATGTAGGCAAATCAGGTGGACATCAGCATGACCGGGATTCTCTTCCCGCCATTTTTAACCGTGTTGCTGCCAGATTGGTTTTTTACCACCCCAGTACTCGTTGTGCTAGGCATTTTGCGAACGCGGTCTCGGCCAGGGGGCCTTGTTGGGTGTGGCCTTGGATCACGAGGGCCAGCGCCCTCGCTGGGGCTAATTAAGAATTCATCATGAAAACGTAAAGCTCCGCGGGCAGCACCTGGCATCTGGCTGAATCTCCGTATACCCTGCTTGAAAGATCTTGAAAGGAGGCGTGCTTCAGACTTCAGGCTTTTCACTCTGGGGTCCCCATGGTAAGCCCCCTTTATGTACCTACATGATCGTCTTAGTTACACCTGCAGTCCATTGTTCTCCCATAGGTAGGAGGTAAATTTGAAGACCTTCAACATCCCATTTTACATTTATTTGAAGTTCAAAGATTTTCCAGTAATTTGCAAGGAATAATATACCTTCTATACCTCTATGTCACATGTGGAAATGATGAAACAGGTACAGAAAAAGTGTAGAATGTATTGGAAATACCAAGCATTTGGGGTCCTACAAACTTTTAGTTTGCATTTCTGATTTTCTGGAATGCTGCAGCTATTTGCAGACCTTCACACTATAATTTTACATGTTGTTCATTTTCTTGCATGTTTTTCAAAAATTCAAATCTTACATTTTGAACGCCCAAAACATCTCATTACCCTCTGGTGAACTAACATAGCAATGGAAAATCACCATTTTTAATGGGGAAATCCACTATAAATGGCCATTTTCAATTGCTATGTTAGTTCACCAGAGGGTATATCCCATTAAATCCCATTAAATCCCATTAAACCACAATTTTCCTATGGTTTTCCTATGGGCTTTTTGTATGTTCACCATGGATTTCCACCGGCGTTTAACCACCGTTGGCGCAGAACGGTGGGCCTGCCAGCTTCGGACGGCGCCTGAGCTCTACGGATGGCATGCTGGAGGGCTTCTTCAACATGCCCGGCGGCTCAGTGCTGGATGTTTTACTGATTTAATGGTGATTTAATGGTGATTAATATGGGAATATCTATGGTTAATATAGTGATTATTGTTAGATATTAATGGATATGACCATCTGGTTATTTAGCATAGCCATGGAAAATCACCATTTTTAATAGGTAAACCATCTATAAATTGGCAGTTTTCCATGGCTATGTTAAATAACCAGAGGGTAATGGATATTAATGGATAGTATTGATGAATCTTTATTATATGTTAATATATGTTAATTAGCTGGATATTATTGGATATGATATGTTTATATATATATATATAGGATATTATTAAGTATTAACAACATAGTTTATTGGATATTTTTTGGATATACACATATATTAAGAATATACACTAATAGTGTACAATAGTGTATGATTTAATAGATGTATATGGATATAGAAATACCAAGCAGATAACTTGCTCAAAGTCTAAGCGCATGGCCATATGTGCACGTCCGTGAAGTTAAACGACGTGATAATATTGGCCCAACATCAGTTGGTTGTCGTGTTGGTGCTTGTGTGGTTTTGTCCTGAAGCTACAAGTACCTTTGAAATGCCAAACGGATCTGTAGCTTCCTAGAACCAGAATGTGACCCATGCTTTGACGGATTTGATCATGTTGATGGTCTTAACAGATTGAGGTTGGTCACAGTATCAAGGGTGCTAGCTGTATTCCTAGGTGCATAGGTCTTCAAAGTATCTTTCAAGGGGTGCCCCCCAGGGATGTTTGAGGGCCCCAGGCTGCTCCATGTTACAAGTAACTTGTAGATGGAATATCCCCAATTATATGGGCTATATGGATTCTAAACCAGTCAAATCCACTTACTATTTGATTGCGCACATCCAAGTATCCAACTCTTGATGCCTCTCGACCCTCCCAGCAGGATTGCATAATATTGCATACGTAGGACCCCGGCTCAAAGGATCTCAAAGAATTTGGATTTAAATATGGTACATCCACAAAAAAACAATGGTTATTATCATTTCTCCATTCAATTTGCTATGTGTCGTATCCCTGATTCCTTTAAAAAAAGACTCTGCCAAGTTTGGATGGCTACTCCATGACCTAGTCTGCTCCAACTTTGGATGGTAACCTGGTTTTCCACTGAAATCGGCATCTTTTTTGCTGCTTGCTATACTGAAAAGCCATGTTTTAACATACAGCCGGGGGCCTGATGATGAAGCCCAGGCTGGAAGACGTGGAGTGGGAATGTGAATCGGTGAGTTTGCCAAGCCCCAACGACATCCCGCAGTACTACCACGCCCCTTGGCCAAGGATGTTGACGGAGATGGACCCCCAAATCCTCGGAGTTCGGTAGGAACTTAGGAAACCATTTCTGGCTGGTCTGGAACATAGCTGGATTATGACTTTCCCATCATATTGATATATTGGGAATGTCATCATCCTAATTGACTTTCATATTTTTCAGAGGGGCTGAAACCAGCAACCAGATTTTTTGGGTTTGGATTACTGCAAGTTCGAGAAACCGCGATATATCTGTAGATCATTATCCTCTGGCACAGCATGACATGGTTACATTTACACCCAAAACATAAATGTATGCAACCCCGGAGAAACAATGATAACTATTTCATACATGTAGCACTTTTGAAATATAGCTGCAGTTAGTGATTTCAGGCTCGCTTGAAACCACAGGTGCAAACCGAGTTGAGGCCATGTCCATAGAAGTAATTGTATGACAGGATTGAATGGGTGCGTCATAAAGATTGCTGCATACCCCAGATAGCTATATAAATTGCTATAGAAAAAATCTAGGTAAAATCATGATATACATTGATAACCGATTGGGTTTTGAGGGGGTACCCTATTCTCTGCCAAAGTTAAATGACGTCATAAGGGATGTAAGCTTTGTTCTTGTCACAGGTCACTTGTGCTTAGCCTGGGTCTATGTCATTCAACACTTCACATTTCGTCAAGTTTTATCCGTTGTTGTTTGGTGTTATTATATGCATTTATGTCATTATTATATATTGTTACATAACAATACATAGTATTACATATTATTACATATTACTACAGATTATTACATATTATTAGATATTATTAGGTGTTATTACTATTGTAATTAGATTACCATTATATTAACATTATATTACTATATGTTTGTCAATATTATCATCATTATAATGTAACATTAATGTAGTTATTATTATTAATGTGATCGTTTGCCATTATATTGTCAGTATATTTCTATCAATATTCTCATCATTATTCTTGTTGTTGCGGTTGCCCAAAAAAATTGGTGACTTGTGCCATTGGACAGTTGACCAGCTATCGAAGATGCCATGGGCAAAACAGCTGTTTTTGCGATCTCCCATCAACCCCTGAGAGATTCAAGGTGAAAACAGCAGCGATTTTGTTTTCTGGACATGGTAGTTCTTTAGGCTGGTTGGTGGTTTGGAACATGGCTGTCATTTTTCCATATATTGGGAATAATCATCCCAACTGACTTTCATATTTTTCAGAGGGGTTGAAACCACCAACCAGTAGGATATTGGTTCGGTGCACAGTGCATTGACTACTGCTTTGCGAGTTTTTCGACCTTGTGACAAAGTCAACCATTTATATGAATATTGGTTTAGAATGGTTTATATATATTATACATCTGTGAGTTTCGTGCCACGAAACATAGAACATGTGGAACATGGCAGAATTCATTTCACCTTATCCTTTGGTTCAATCCCAAAATAGGGCGGGAACCGATGGTTACCTCAATGGCTGCGCCGTGAGTGCACAAACAGACTGCGCTTCTCTTCGCTTGACGTCTTTGAACCTTTTGCCGTGACCCTAGTCCACTTCGTGAGGGATCTGGGAGAGGAATACCCTAAGGGCTGCTATCCTCAAATTGGTAGCGGGGCCCCAGCCGGGGCATACGCTCAAAGATGTCACAAAAACAGAGTGATGGGAATAGCACCGAGATACTCAAAGACAACTACATCCCCATCTTCTCCAATCGACCTGCTGACTACCGTGAGTACAGGGCTAGAGTGACTTTGTACAAGATGAAGATGGAATTGCAGAAACGACCAAAGGAAGCTGTGATCAACCTTCTCACGTCCTTGACAGGAGCTAGCTGGAAGTTGGTCGAGCACGACGCCACCAAGCTGATCGAAGCGTCCGATGGCTTTGACCAAGTGATCAAGCTACTGGATCAGAATTTTCAGTATGATGACCGGGTAGAGTGTCCAAAAGCCATGGATCGTTTTTTTTTTATCAGTTGACTAGGCGTAGCGAACAAACCATGTTGTCTTTCATGACTGACTTTCGCGAAGCGAAACGTGAGATAGAGAAACACAACATCAAGCTACCCGATGAAGTCTCTGCATACATTCTTCTCAAATGCTGTGGGCTCACTGTTGAACAGCGTCAGATGACTTTGACGCAGATTGGCAATGAGAAGATGACTGAGGCCAAGGTTGAACAGGCCATCTATTACTTGTTTGGCCAGGACTACCGTGGCCGCACCAGTCATGACTCCAGGAACAGAGTAAAAGGCAGGTACTCCCAGTGGCAACGTCCGCAACAGGCCTATGTCACTGACGAGACCTACGGCTATGATGTCGACTATGGCGATGATGAGGCCTATCTTGGCGACGATGCCGAGGACTTTGAGGCTGATTTCATCCCCGAAGATTTTGAACAACAAGAGTATGGTGATTATGAGTATGAAGACATCATGTACTATGGGGACTATGGGGATGACACATGGGAGTCCGAGTTTCCTGAAGGTGGTGACCCCGAAACTGAAGAAGCTTTTGCCACGTATCTAGATGCTAGACGTCGTTTTGCTGAACTCAAGGCCAACAGGGGGTTTTGGCCCGTTGTTGCACTCAGCCCAGAAGGACAAGCATCAACAGCAGCAGCAACACAACGACCACACGCACCCAAACCAACAAAGGGCAAGGGTAAGGGCAAAAGCAAAGCAAAGGGCAACAGACCACCACCACCACAGAAGGGCGATGCCAAATCTAGGGGCAAAGCAGCAGTCAATGCAGACGTCATTTGTCTGCGCTGCTCACAACCAGGCCACTATGCAGCAGACTGTCCACAGAGACACACACGACCCTCGGGCAGCAACAGCAGCTCACCTGCCAAGAAGACCAAGACAGCGACACATGCCGCCCACATGGTACGAGACATGACACAAGACGACAGCAACATGACCCCAACAGATGGCTACTATGCCACTCAAGACGGAGGCGCAAGCTCCATGGTGTCAGGACACACAACATTCATGTCCTACCTGCAACACAGCCTCCAACGAGGCATACCACTCAGCCACTTCCGGTTCCGCGAAGCTGACAAGATCTTCCATTTTGGCGGCGACCGTGAGCTCCGATCCAACTGGAGTGTGCATATGCCAGTGCACATCAACGGCAACTGCGGTCGCATTCAATGCTTCCTGGTACCAGGATCCACGCCAATGTTGATGGGCAGACCCATCCTCAAGGCCCTCAATGTGAAGGTCGACTACACGACTGACCAATTCTCCACTGACGGAACCAATTGGCAGAACATCCCACTTGGGAGCAAGCAGGAACACCTACTCCAACTCGATGACATGCAGTGCAATCCACCCACCACTGACCACTACAACTTTGACCTCGTCACAACTGACACCTACGAAGTCCTACAGAACAACCTCGCTGATGAAGATACAACTGACCTCCACCACTACCTACAACAGACTGGGCATCCAGAGCCCGAATTCGTGCATCAAGCAGTTGACGAACAACCTGAACTACCGACACAACAACCTGACAACTACGACCACTCACTGACAAACTACTCAAGAGCATACAATACCACATCTCCACCACCGAGAACCGACGACGGTCGGCAATGGAACAAATCCTACGAGCACATGACCACAACCAACTCCAGTTCTGGGAGGTCTACTCAGGCACCGCCAACTTGGCAGCCGCAATGAGAAAGAAAGGCTATGTGATCTTCACCTTTGACCTGACCAATGGATGGGACTTCACAAAAGGACAGCACAGAAGAGACTTCTACCGTCTCTACTACAGTGCCGCCCCGGACCTTGTCTGGCTGGCACCACCATGCAAGAAGTGGAGCCCACTACAACACCTCTCCATCCGCACAGCAGCACAGGCAGAAGCACTACAAGCCGCAAGAGACCACGAGGAACATACACACCTGAAATTCACAAGCAACATACACCGACGACAGATGCGGCACCACAGGCATAGCATCATTGAACAACCCAAGCCCTCAGCAGCTTGGAACACACCAACATTCCAAGACACACCAGGCCACGACTGCCAAGTTGACCAATGTCAATATGGAGCTACACTACCCGACGACCAAGGAGACGAACAGCTCATCAGGAAGTCAACCACTCTGCGGACTAGTGATCCTAGGTTGGCCGAAGCCCTGGGGCGGATCTGTCATGATGCACACCAGCACCTTCCCATTGAAGGCTCATCACCAAAAATCGGTCTCAGATCGACAGCAGCGGGAGCATACCACCCAGCAATGTGTGCAGCATGGGCTAACATCATCCACGACTTCATGCAGAATCACTACAACCACCAGGAACAGGGATTCCAACTGGATGATGGAGATGATGACGACCCCACTGACAACACTGACAACCATGAGGCAGAACAACCACAACATGACCAACAACTACAAGCCGTGCAACAGCACGACCAACACATACAACCAGCACAGCAACCAATGCCAAACACGGGCGTTCTCACTCGACTGCAGGAACAGGGCAAGCAAGCAGCAGAAAGAACAGTACAACGACTCCACCGCAACCTTGGGCATCCCACCAACAAGGAGCTTGTCAAGTTGCTCACACAACGCAGAGCAAGCAACAGCATACTGCAAGCAGCACATGACCATAAGTGTGACCTATGCGCAATGCAGCAACCACCACCACAGGTCACCAAGAGCTCCATGAGACACAGCGGAACGGTGTTCAATGAACGCATCCTGGCTGACACGCTGTGGATCCACCAGCCCAGGGATAGTGCCACAACAGCCAGAGGAATTCCCATCCTTGCAATCATCGACTCCACCACCAAGCTCATGGCAGCCAGAGTCATCCCAATGGAGAAGTCCGAGGACTTTCTGAAAGCGCTGGAGCGAGGATGGATCCGGCACTTTGGGACTCCAACCATCCTCCAGGTCGATGACCACCGAGCCTGGAGCAGTGAGCTCATCCGAAGCTGGAGCTCTGATCATGGTGTCCACCTTGAGATCTCTCCAGGCCAAGCACACACCCGACTTGGCCTCTTGGAAAGACGTCACCAAGTTCTACGACGAGCCATCGAGCTCTTCCTGGCACAAGGCAACCTCTCTGTCACCACAGACAACGTCATCCAGGCGGTGACGTATGTGATTCCACAGATCAACAATGCCCCGAACCTGCAAGGGTTCTCAGCCACCCAATGGGCATTTGGCTATGTCCCACGACTGCCAGGCCACCTCATGGATGAGGATCTCATGCTCTCCCATCTCACACCAAGTGATGAGATGGTGCACAAACTCCAGCTCAAGCAACAGGCTGCTACAGCCGTCAGCCAAGCCGACATCGATGCCAGACTCCGACGGGCCCTACTGCGACAGCATCAGGCACAACAGCACACCTACCACACTGGCCAACAAGTCTTCTACTGGCGTGATGCAGCGTGGTGCCGGACCAAAAATCCGATGGAAGGGCCCAGCAACCATTGCCATGGTTGAGCCGGGACGCGCCGGCCTTGCCAGCAACATCTACTGGCTCGCTCACGGTACCACCTTGATCCGAGCCTCAGCCGAGCATCTACGACCTCATCTCAACACACCAATGGACACCACCACCAACTCCTCTACTACCACTACCACACGAGCACAACAAGCCCTGGACAACATTCGCAACCGCAGCACCACACTCTACCTTGACCTCCACAAAAGCAACAAACGCAAACGCACTGAAGTCACCACAGAGGATGAATCGGAGGACGACCCACCACCAACTGTTGCCGTCCCCATGGATTCCCCACCGACACATGACTACTGGGACGTCTCTGATGATGGATTGATGTGGACTCGCGTCCACGTCGTGCCTCGTTCTTCTCTTTTCTGCCCGACTTCTGATGCCACCGCACCAGTGATGACCTTTTTGCCACAACGTCTCACAACACTTCAACGACCACCGCCACACCCACATCGCTTTACACTCAGCGATGAGTGGGCAGACTCCACACATGCCAGCAGAGAGCTACCATACACCTGGACCGGCAACACAACCTTCACTGTCCGTACGGACCTCCAACACCAACAGCCACTCAACACAACTTCATTCCCTACAAGCACCAACCCAGAAACACCACCTATGACAACAACACCACCAACACCACCGGCAATGGACACACAGGACACACAGGCAGCAGAAAATGGAGTGGGAGGCGAAGATGATACCGAGTTCTGGGACAGTTTGGTGGCACCAGCGACTGAGTCTGACACCAACATGGATCCAACACCTGAGCCCAATCAACAACCGGAGGTCCCATCTCGGTCAATCACCTCCACATCCGGCACAGAGCCGATGCAAGAGCCAGATCCACCAGCAGCGCCACTTCCAACCCCGGCGCTAGCAATACCAGAGCACCAGCAGCAACTCTACCAACCACCACAGCCGGGTGAGACATTCAACCAGCTACGAGCCAGAGTTGACAGACAAGAGACCCTATCACTATACCAACCACACCACGGAGCCGTCACCTATGGACCCAACCGTGAAACATTTGCAAGAGAGAACACACACCAACACAGGCGCAACACACCATACCAACGAGCAACGGCACCCACTGAGGCAGATGTCGATGAGCAGACCCACACCACTCACGAGGTCAATGTATTGCCACAATCCAATACCCTTCCACCGGGATGGAAGGTAGAAGATGGCTGGATCCAACTTGGAGAAACACAGGATGAGTGGCAGATCAAGAACGGCTGGCTGATTCGCAGACACTACCTGCCCCGAACCAGTAAGTTCCACCCAGCACAGATCGATGCCCACTGCCCCATTCCACTTGAGTACCTGGGCAAGGACAGGGTCACCAAACGACCCGGACACACTACCCACGACCGATGGAGGGGAAAACAGGATAACGACAACATGGAGCCTTGGACAGGAACAACAGCTTTCAAGATCAACCAGACCCACCGACAAGTGGCCAGAGAACATTTTTACACAGCAAGTGAGGGACACAGCACCTACACCTACAACACTACCGACAGCAGCCACAACGCCCACCAGGCCAACACTACTAACAACAGCCACAAGCCTATGCCCAAAACCAAGGCCAGGAAGGAACAGATCAGCGAGAAACACCTCAGCCTCGAGGACCGTCTTGCCTTCATAAAAGCCAAACAGGCAGAGCTGGCTTCGTTCTTCCAAAATGATGTGTGGGAGGTGGACGACGCCACTAGCAGTCCACCTGGAAGGACCCTACGTGCCCACTTCATCCTCAAGTGGGGTAAGCACAACGATGGCACACCAAGAGCCAAAGCCAGGCTCATCACACAAGGGTTCCGAGACCCTGATGCTCTGTCGGGAGCTCTGCAGACTGAGTCACCCACCCTCAGTCGCCTTGCCAGAAACTACATTCTGGTCGTGGCAACCATGTTTGGCTGGCCGACGTTTTCAGCTGACATCTCCACAGCCTTCCTGCAAGGGAAAAAGCATGAAGCTAGCCGCACTCTCTGGATATCCCTCAGTGCTGAAGCCAACCGCATGTTGGGACTTCCCACGGATGGCAGCAAAGTGCTGCGCCTCAAGAAGCCCATGTATGGTCTATGTGATGCCCCGAGGGCATGGTTCACTGAAGCAAGGGATCGACTCCTACGCTTGGGAGCACAACAACACCCACTTGATGCTTGCCTATACCTTGTCTACGACCACAACGCCCCATATGACCAATGGTCCCAACACCAGGATAGCCACGGAAACAACTACACAACACCACCACTATGTGCCATTTTTGGCCTACATGTCGACGACATCATTGGATGCGGCGACAACAACAATGCCACGTTCCAACACTTCAGACAACAACTACAAAGCAGCTTCACGTTCAGAACATGGGAAGAGGACTCACCTTCCTTTGACTACTGTGGGGCCGAGATAACCAGACACTCACCCTACCACTACCACCTAGGGCACGAAAAGTACCTGGCCAAACAAAAGCCCATCAGCTTTGAGGCCAAAGAAACAGAAGACAGACCAGTCACGGAAAAGGAAAGAACAGCTCTCCGAGCCACCATCGGAGCACTACAATGGCCAGCAGGCCAATCATCACCACACCTACAGGCCAGCATCTCACAATTGGCGGGACTGGTCCCGAGCGCCACAACAGCCACCTTGAGGGAGGCCAACAAGGCCCTCAGGTTTGCAAAACAACATGCCGATGTTGGCCTAGAATTTCAGCATCTAGGTGACAAGCAAGACTTAACAGTCCTGGCATATTGTGATGCCGCCTTCGCCAGCCGACATGACAACACAAGCCAAGGAGGCTACCTAGTGGCCATCACACACAAGGATGTCACCACAGGCAAACCAGGACCGTATGTCCTGGTTGACTGGCGGAGTTGGAAGCTCCCCAGAGTAGCCAGAAGCTCACTCAGCGCCGAAGCACAAGCAGCGTCAGAAACAGCAGACATTTTGATGTATGACATCATCTTCTGGCAGTTGATTTGGCACCCCGACTTACCAATCAACGACACAGCAGCATGCCAATTGACACATCCACCGTGTCTCGTAACTGACGCCAAAGGGCTATACGACCTGCTCACAAAACCAGAACTACAGCCCAGCAGTGGGGCCGACAAACGCACCTCCATAGAAGTGCTAGTCGCCCAAGACAAACTCAAATGTGCCGAGGCCCAGACAAAATGGGTTAGCTCTGAGCTACAGTACGCTGACGGCATGACAAAAACAGCAGCAGCACTACTTTTGGCACAACGCCTACGCACCCATCAAACCAGCATCAAGCCCGACGAACAATTCACAGCAGCAAAGAAGAAAGACGCACACGCGCGCAAGCGTAGTGCCGAGCAGTTTGCCCTGAAAAAGCCCAACAGAGCCATGCAGGCCCTGGTAGCAACAGCATACCTTGTCATGCAAGCAGATGCAACAGACACCCAAACCGAACATCTCACATATGTTGACTATGGGTTTCTCATGCTTGTGACCATTTTTGTCATCTTAGTTGGCAACCTCCTGAACTCCTTCTTCATGACTACATGGTCCCGTATGACTAGGTTCTTGAGTATGACATCTACCAGTAGAGGAAGCCGTAGTGGTATTCATGACAGCCACCAATCAGTGACTGCCACCGACTCAGGTACCTCACCTGAACCCTTCGAGTGTGCAGACTGCGCCGATCTTCGTTTCCAACTGGCAACCATGGCTGAGGAAAATGCTCACCTCAACCAACGTTTGCAGCAGCATGGCAGCGCAGAATACATGAACAGAGTGTACCACGAGCCTTTGAACAAGTTCAAGAGGCTCTACTCTGAAGAAAGGGAGAAGGTCAAGCGCATGACTGAACAAATGAAGGACATGCAAGAGAAATTCAAGACTTCGGTCGAAGACCAGAAGCAAAAATTCACCAAATGCGTGAATGCACATGTTACAGCAGGGATGCAGCAAGCCACCAACAAAACTCTCCACTTCGCACGAGCCGGAGAAGTTTGGCACAGTGATCCCAGATGCGAAGCACTGACCAGACCAAACGTTGTGAGTTTCTCGAGACGACCCTGCAAGGTTTGTCCCCACATGATGGTACCGGATGGACCGAAAGGCAATGAAGTCAGAGATCTCCTTGCCGCCAGTTTTCGCACACTTTCTCCATCCAGGTCCAGCACCGATTAGTTTTCTCTTTCTTACCGGTGTGAGTTTCGTGCCACGAAACATAGAACATGTGGAACATGGCAGAATTCATTTCACCTTATCCTTTGGTTCAATCCCAAAATAGGGCGGGAACCGATGGTTACCTCAATGGCTGCGCCGTGAGTGCACAAACAGACTGCGCTTCTCTTCGCTTGACGTCTTTGAACCTTTTGCCGTGACCCTAGTCCACTTCGTGAGGGATCTGGGAGAGGAATACCCTAAGGGCTGCTATCCTCAAAACATCATTATACATCAGTATACATATATACATACACCAAAATGGTGAATACCATGGAATACCATGGAATACCATGGAATACCATGGAATACCACATGGGGAATACTATAAAGTATCCTGGTTTGACTGGGGAGATAAAGGTAGTAGAGTGAGCCATGGGACGGTTTTTGGGTTCCAAGCTTTAGACAACTCCACATATCCCTCCTTCTGTATCCCAGTTCAATGGGGGTTGAGGTCTGAATTTCCGGGATGCCAAATGGCTTTGTCTGAACATAGTCTCCCAATTCCAACGGTTCTTTTTTGCAGGATCCTCATTCAATGGCAATTTCCATTTCTTTCATGGTATACCACGTTCAATGGTATTTAATGTATTTAGTTCTTCCAAATCCATGGTCTTCTTTCATGTTCAGACCCAAACAAACTATCCATAAATCCTGGTGCTCGTGTTGCAAACCCAGCACACGACGAGGCCAGAATTCACGTGAAGCACTTGCACAACCGACCTGCCAAGGTGCCCTTGATGGCACCACAAAGGATTCAACTACCGGTCCAAGGGGATGAAAATATTTTGTTGGAAACAATTTCAACTAGTCAAGATTATTTAATCCAAGACTTATGTTCATTCCATATGTTCAAGATATGTTCAAGCCATTCTGATACGATAGTAAACCTAGTAAACTATAATTGATACGACCATTCATGATACCAATCATATATCAATGTAGCCAATCAATTATAATCCATATATCAATCATATAGTCCATTGATAAATAGCTATAATCCATATATCAATGATATAGTCCGACGAGCAAAGATTGATGAAAGACCTGGCGCGAAAAGCGAGCCATTTCAGATGTCAACCTGGCAGACCCCTGGGGTGGTGTCCCATAAGAAGTTAAACATATATATATGTTGTAATCTATGTATATACATGATTCTAAGCATATTTTAAATGATTATCCTTATCATGAAAAAAAACAACATGTTCATGTAAATATGTGATATCAACATGGTAACCATTCAATCAATCGGATGGTGCTTGATCTGAACAGACTGGGAAAAGGAGAAATCCCGTGATGAAGATTTAGGTGAAATATTTATATTCTATACTATATATATACATACATATCTATAATATATATATATATACAATATATATATATATAATTATATGCATATTTATATATTACAATATATATATATGTATATGTATATATACATGGGTTGGTGGTTTGAAATATATTTCTATGTTCCATCCCAGCCTGGCCGGGTGACTTGATCGCACACGAATTAGATTCGATTTCCCGTGCAGGGTGACTTGATGCTGGATAATCATATGATGGTATGATATACTAGAAAGATACAATAGATTACGATGCTATTCAATCATGTACATTTATGTTTGTATGTGTGAATATATATATATATATACACAGTAATTTTATATATATACAGAATTATAGTACAGTAGCAATAAGTATACCAGGCCCATTTAAATCATTTGGTAAATGAGCCGAGTCTCCAGGCCTACTCCAAGTACTTCAAGGATCAGGAGGTGCCACTGGCGGTGAAATCAAGATGGGGCGTACTGGTGAAAATTATCCAAAAAACGCACCCCTGGTTGTATAGCCAGTGACATGGGCTGTATGGGGTTTCCAAATGTTTCCAACATGTTTGATGTTCGATGCTACCTCAGAGGATGATTGAACTGGACCGTTCTTATTATGTGAAGAGTTGAAACCAAAAACATCAAACAACCAGCTAAGAATCGTGGTCGTCAATTATGAACCTATGTCTAAGCATCATAAGCACCATCAGCACCAGCACCAGCACCAGCACCATCATCATCATCATCATCATCATCATCCCCATCATCGAACGTCGCAACTATTGTAGATTATTGCCATCAGTTGCATTCTTGCTTACATCATTGACTCGTGTTTGTCCTGCTGATGATATAGCTGTCTTGTTAGACAATGCACAGACCCAAATATACTTTGGAATGCCGTTGTCAAGTTGCGACGATGTCGTTGATGGCTTCCAACATGTGTCCAGGAAGTGTTTCTGAGACTTACGCTTGCCGTCGTGGTTGCATCTTTGGTCAACCATATAGTCCTTGGAGTTGTTTCTGTATTTGGATTGCCGCATATTTTTGTGTGTTTATTCATATGATACAGGCACTTTATTGCATATATATATACATTGTGAATACTATATACAACATATTTACATATATATATATATATGTATGTACATACATTTGCTGTCTAGATGTATGCATACAATATTTAGATTATCATACATATATCATATGCATATCATACCTGAAGGATCATTCGTAGTAACTGATATCAGGATGGCAGTTACCTCTTTCTGCCTGGCATTGTCCAAGAGAACGGCAAGATCTACAAGACCTGGCATCTCGAAAGGGAAAGGTCGGGTACAGATCCTGTAGGATGCGACCACCAGTCGATAGCGTTCAGTTGCCTTTTTTTGGTGGCTGAATTGTATGGTGTATGGTAGATATAACTTATATAACGAACTAGTTAATGGGGTTTATAAACCAACAAACATCACTCGGGGGCACCATCCTGTGTAGATAACCCCACTGTGTGGCCATCAAATAAGAAGACGCATGAATGATAGACCATGTGCTTTTGCTTGGGCTACCCTGTTTTTAGACAAATCCACAAAACCCTGGTGGAGAAAGGATAAATGTCTTAACCGTGCTTTTTTTTTTCGGATGAATCAGTGATAGCTTTTCTGAACCATCAAATATGTGGGATAAGATTGATAATTGATGCTTGGTTGATCATTATAGCTGTACTGCCCTTTATACTTTATATTATATATACCGTTATACTTTGTATATAAAGTCATCGCTGAACTGGTTTCCCACAATACTCTCCAAGTCGATTATCAACTGTTTATTTTGTGTGTGTGGATCATGCTAGATTCCCATTGTCCATTGAAATCACATTGAACCATTAAATCGCCAGTGATGATCGTTATAAACCAGATTCCATATGCCATATATGTCCAGCAAATTATGTGTAACCATTGTAACCGTTTGCTATTATGTGTAACCATATGCCATATGTGTTCAGCAAATTATGCCATTATTTATAACCAAAATATTTGCCATTACCCATAGGATCCATGGTGCTGCTATATATGGTGTGCCATGGATCCCATCAATATACCCCCTTTTTGTTAGCATTAATATACCAGCACCATGGTTCCTATGGGAAACAATGTGGTTAAACCAAAAAAAACAAAGTATATCGAAACCATTCGAAAATCTTCTCACCATTCCCCAAGGAAGGAGGAACTGGTGAAGTCCGCAGGCGTCACTGCCTACATGAGCCTCTCGGGACCGAAACATGGAGATTTTCCAGCAAAAAAGAAGGATTTCACCAACAGAACTAGGGCTTTAAGCAGCAAAAAATGGGATTTACTTTGGATTTAACATTATTTAACCAGTCAAGAATTGGGAGTGTGCTGATTTCAAGATCTTTTGAAAGGAATTTGACATGATTCAAAAACAAAAGAAACTGGATTCGACTCGACCTCACGACCTCACTTCATCAAAGATGTTTCTTGTATCAAAATGAGCATATTTCATCATCAGACGTTTGGGAAATTCACTTCACCTGAGCTCAAAAAGACGAGAGATTCCAGATCGAGTACCCTCTGGTAAACTAACATAACTGTGGAAAATCACCATGTTTAATGGGAAAACTCACTATAAATGGTCATGTTCAATAGCTATGTTAAATTACCAGAGGGTATGTGATCATCTAAACGGTTGATGGCATGATCCAACTGATCTCAAAAAAGAATCGGGGTGAAACTCGTCGAGTTTCACCAGAAAAAAGTGTTGTTGGTTGGTCATCATTTTATGGGGATCGAGAAGCCAAAAACATGCAGGCTAAATGGCGCGCCAAACATTGAGGAATCTAGATGCCCTACATGACCAACGAAGATGAAGAGTGATTTAATCACAAGTTTCAATTCAAGCAACTAGAGTGGTCCAATCAACATTCAGAGGGCTCACAACATTGAAAATATCATCAATCTAGGTTGCAGACAAATAAATGCCTTTTGCGTCTGTCTTTGGAGCTTTATGAGCCCAATTCGGAGCAGGTGATACGTGGATGAAAATGATTTAACCAACTTTCAAAGAAGATTTGGCCATGTAGAGCCATCACTCGTAGGCCTAGCTCACCGCTGGGGATGGTAGCAAGACATGACCTCATGACCCTCAGCTTGAAGGTGGCATGCAAAAAATTACCGTTGCCGTCGTGGATTTTTTTTTCACATCTCTTGGCACAGTTTTTTGACACGTGAACATACGAGGACTCCTGTGTATTCCTTTGTAATGTCAACCCCGGATGAGACTAAACTAAACCATGGTTTATTAATTAGGTGGGTACTCCTCCAATAGTCATAATCTGATACTTAAATGGTACCCTCCCAATTAAACAGCCGTTTGGGGTTTATTAATCCAGGGTTGACATTATTCCTTTGCATCATTTTTTGCATGTGTGTTTGTAGTGACTGTAGATGTTTGTAGTGTGTGGTGTCCCGTCTCTATTATTTTGAATGTGTTCAATGAAACATACTTCGATATGTCTTGAGGCGGGATGGTTGAAACACCATCAGTTTCCCTTTACACTCACTACTTTACATGTAAGCCCCAAAATGGATCAAAATGGCAGGTTTGGAACGCAACACATCCTCAGGTTCAGGGCAGGATTGAGAAAACACCTGCTACCCTCAGGTGAGTATGCCATGCATCCTTTGCAGCGTGAGCTGCGAATCAAGAAAGCTGGCATTCAGGTGCGCGGCTTGTGGCCCTTTTGAACCCTGGTAAACTATGGTTTGTAGATGTTTGAAGGCGATATAACTTATATAACATGATAGAACTATAGTAAGTTAGGGCTTGTCAATTATAAATCAACGTTGTCATCACTGGAGATTTTCGCTCACCTTGTGGACTCGGGGATGGCCAACCCGCCTTTTTTTCCCAACGGGTGATGGGACTACCTAGATATCTAACACTTCGCTGCGACCATGTCACACCTAAAAAGTATTATGTATGTCAGTGTTGTTTGGTTTTACCCTCTGGTAAACTAACATAGCTATTGAAAATGGCCATTTATACTGGATTTTCCCATTAAAAATGGTGATTTTCCATAGCTATGTTAAATTACCAGAGGGTATGCCATAGATTTTTCCTCAATATATGCGCGACACATCTCCATGTACTGTAGCTTGACCATGGCCGCATGGTTTGTACCTCCAAATCTGAGGTTAATCACCAGTTCCTTTCTCTAATAAATAAAAATAAATAAATGGGGATATGATATACCACATTTTTTGTACCCACCTAAGTATCATATAGTGTTGATTTGTATATAGTTATGTACACACATACACCATATTATCGAGGGATTTGTCCTATTGTTGCCGGTTTTGTCCATATTATCATCCAGTCCCAATATCCCATTCAAACATATTCAAACCCCAAATCTCTCCATTGTATCATTAGATATCTCATCCAATCTTTGTTAGTCTTGGTTTCATCCAATCTATTCCCCATCCATTCCCCAGCTTTTCTCCAACCAAACATGGCAATTGGACATCTCAAAAGATTGGGCTTTCCGAAATCATCGAACTACCCTCTGGTTATGTCAAACATAGCTATTGAAAATGACCACAGAAATGGTGAGTTTTCCCATGAAAAATGGTGATTTTCCATAGTTATGTTCCTTTACCAGAGGGTGTGTATATGTATATATATATATATATATGACTGGGGATTTTCAGCTATTCCCCATCTATTCCCTATGTATCTTGATCATTATACTGGTTGGATAGTACATATTCCTATAATGGCTTATAATGTGTTAGTTGATAATCCCGCAAGAAACTGAACAAACCAACGAGTATCACCCCCTCTACCCATCAACAGAGATATCTGTAGTGGCTTGTCTCACTATCTGAGTTGATATGAGTGGTGGTTTTATCCAATACCCTTGGTTATTTAACATAGCCATGGAAAATGGCCCATTTATAGATGGTTTACCTATCAAAAATTGGTGGATTTTCCATGGCAAACTGCTAGTCATAACCAGATGGTATATCCCATTAATATCCCATTGAATCACTATAAAATCCCATTAAACCACTATAATAACCAGAGGCTATGTCCCATTAACCAGATGGTAATCACCATTAATTCACTATGAATCACCATTAACCATAGATATTCCCATATTAATCACCATTAAATAACCATTAAATCACCATTAAATCACCATGTAACTTGACCGCGCCACGTGGCGAGAGCAACTTGAGGCGTCCGTTCAAGCCCTGGGCCACACGGGCTACCGCTGCTTCTTGGAATCTCCAGAAGCATCGTCGTTGCTCGGTCGAAGCGACCGGAAAGGGGAGGGCGGAAAGCCCATGGGGGATTAATATTCATGGTGATTCATATGGTGATTTAATCCATATATAACTATAAATGGTGATTAATATATGGATTAAAATTATGATTAACATGACTAAGTAACTAACACTATTAATATGGTGATTTAATCCATATATAACTATAAATGGTGATTAATATATGGATTAAATTTATGATTAACATGACTAAGTAACTAACACTATTAATATGGTGATTTAATCCATATATAACTATAAATGGTGATTAATATATGGATTAAATTTATGATTAACATGAGTAACGAACACTTATAGTGATTTTTACGGAGATTAATTAATCACAATAAGATATAGTTGAAGATTACCATAATAAGATATACTTGGGGAATGTTATCCCATTAGAATAAGTAAGCGTTGTGGATATTATATGATATCCCATGTTGATAAGTATAATGAGTATGTGATCCCATTGATCATCCCATTGTATGACTATGTAAATTATGTATGCTAATTTGATTAGTGTGGATTATATGGTATCTTTTTTGGGGTTTATACACATAGAATGTAGTTGAAGATTACCACAATAAGATTTACAGTACTTGGGAATGTTATCCCATTTAGAATGGTTTTTTTTATGTGATAAACCCAAGATTACCAACATCCCAATTGGGTTTATCATTGGGTATACTGACCCCTTGGGATGATGGTGGATGTAAGCAATGTGAGGCTTGAGCATCGTATGGGTATGACCGTGCCAATGAATGGGAATACCCTCCGGTAAACTAACATAGCAATGGAAAATTGCCATTTATAGTGGATTTTCCCACTAAAAATTGTGATTTTCCATTGCTATGTTAGTTCACCAGAGGGTATCAGGAGGATACAATCCACTGATTGGTGCTTTGACAATGTGTGACACATCTTTTATGTTCGACCATTTGACTGTTCTGATGGTCCCCAATCGCCTGCAGATGTTGCAAATAGGTCGCTCAACCATCAGATGGCTCCTGGAGACTATATAGAGTCCATTGGTACCATGCTTTTGGTTGCTATACCCATACATTGTATGCTTGGTATACTGTCGTGTTTTTGTTGGAAAAAATAGTCCAAATGCGCTTTATTCCACATCAACACCTCCCTTTGGCCGTGTAGATTCCACTGTTTTTGATTGCTGAAAATCCTAACGTCCTAACGTTTGTTCGTTACTAGTTACATCTCCATTTCAGCGTGGTCCAAAAACCTGATATTTCTCGTGGTCCAAAACTCCAATGGTTGCGTCATGACCGTCTCCATGACCTCATCCCATGTCTCGTGATTAGCTCCCTTTGTTCATGCGTAACCCCCCCATATGTTGAACTATTTATTCACTTCATCTTCAGTTATGTTCCACGGTGAAGCCCCATGTTTTGTTTCGCTCACTGATCTTAATGTTCCAATTTCCGATTTCCAAATTTGGATGGTTTCAAAGCCCATTTTGTCATGTTCCCCCTGTTTTGGCCATTGTAAAATCAAATTTATAACACCCTTACTGACTGGAAGCAACCATGCAATCCCCTGGACTTCACCAAGGGGTTTCCATAGTCATGGGGGTACCCCTTTATCGCTGGATGCTTATGGATGTTTTTTTTTGCAAAAGCATGAAAAAACCATCTATAAATGGATGATCACTGGGAGCGATTTGTTTTTCCTGATCATCACTGGTTATGGATGGTTATGGATGATCATAACCCATAGGATCCATGTATGCTATATATGGTAACATTTACCATCAATATACCCCAAATGTTAGCATATATACCATACATGGATCCTATGGGTAAGCTTATGACTTCGGAAACCTTAGCTTGCGCCCAGGATGCAAGCTGCTGCCTCCAGCGGTGCAGTGCCCACCATGGAGTTCCGCGGCGTGGTGGTGGAGAACGGTACGGTGCTGCGGCAGTGGAGGCGAGCCTTCGATGGAAAAGGGGAGGGCCCAGTAAAAATGGGGACTTCACCCACGAAGATGGTGATTTAACGCGCACAAATGGTGATTTTCGCCTAGGAAATGTGTGACTTAAGCAAGGAAAAAAGGTGAGTTACGCAAGAAAAACGGTGATTGAAACAAGAGGACATGGGACATGACACAGAAATAATGTTGTTAGTTCTTAAACCCAGAAAAAGTGTGATTAAACTCAGAAAACAATCTAGATTTGGCTGATATAAACGGGCAAATTTCATGGACAATTTTAAGAAACCAATTTTAGAAGTTGTGGGTGTTGTCATCAAAATATGGGGGATTAACATGTAACATGGATTGACCAGCACTGGTGATATCTGGTTATGATAGTTTAGTACCTGAATCGATTGTTCAATGTGGATGTCTATATACTAAACTACCAGTATTGAAGATTGTCTAGAATTGTCCATCATCCTGCAAACAAGGCATATATATATATGAGGATATATATATATATAGTGGGATATTTACATGTATATATACATATATATATATATATGTATAAACACCCAGGGGATGTACATGTTGCAGAGCTCACCATCATAGAATGGCAATGATTAAACCATAAGGTAATTGGTCAGCGTTTGGGCAAAACATATGCCCTTTTCGTGAAGATGCTGAAGGGTGGACCTGTTCTGCTTCCAGGACTGCCTAGAAGCCACGTGGAAGCATAGATTTCCCATTGGTTTGTTGATTAATAGAAGGATTTCTTCAGAAACCCCTTTAACGACAGGTAGATGATGATAGATGGTATACCAGCTCCCGGCCCCTCTATTTTTTTTAACCAAAAGGACATTATTGCTAGGAAGTTTGGATGATCACGCAGGAAGATTGATGATAAACCTTTACTTTGGGAGTATCTTTCGGATCATGTCATTTTGTGCTGATCAAAAATGGGTAAGATGATGTGTTGTTTTTGGTAAAACATCCAGTCTCCAATCTGGTAAACCCCAACTAGTCGATTTGTAGAATCAAACACACCATTGTTGATAAAATCCAAGTTTGGGTTAAGTCAAAAGAGCAAACGAAAGATGTTTTGGCATATTTGCAGTAATGTCAACTCCTGGATCGATGAGTTCCGGGGCTGTTGCCCATTGGGGAGTAATTACCTTTTTTGCAGCAGATGAACTCCTTATTTGGTGGGTTGCCCCCAATTTTGATCAGAGATTATTACAGTATATAGTGAATCCGAGGTTGACATTATACTGGATGTTTGCTTGGGATTTTAACCTTTGTTGATGAGAGGCACGTGCCTCCCCAAATAAACCACCATGTTTATATGTGCAATAGCCAAGAACCAGCCAGAAGTATCTAGAAACTGAGCTCGAAACCTTAATATGCCAAGCCAAAGTCACAAAGTTTATATATATATATATACGTATGTATGTGTATATATATACGTATGTATGTGTGTATATATATATATATATATATATCCATGTGTTGGATATAGTTGGTGAGTTATATCATGTTATATCCCCATTATTTTGGCATGTTACCATCGATGATCCCACGTTCGCCAGGCTTGATCCCATGGGGGACATCGATGAGGCTGAAGAGGCGACCGACGACTGTCTGCTATGGTCGTATGGTAATCTATGCTACAGTATGGTCAAATGATGGTACTGCTACAAGAGAAATCTATATATATAGAAATAATATAAAAATATATCGTTCTTTGAATTTGATATTCCGACATCGTCAGATCTTGTGAGTTTGTGTCGTTGCTTCATTGAATTTCACGACACTTAGCCGACTCGTGCCCCCTTTGCTCAGGGCGCTGAGAACACCGTGGGTATGATGGAGGCGGGGATGATTCCCAACGTGGTGGACTACTACGACGTGGACACCGATCCCACCGGCCGCTTCGTGGCTTGGCGTTTAGCGAAACGCCCCGAGCGGCTCGGGAGGGTGTATCGCTAGGTGTATCACTTTATTGATATGGGATATGAATGGATATGAATGGGGATGATATGGGCATCTAAAGATCCTGAGAATGAAGAGTTATGATTTGGGAATAATGGTGGTTTATGGATGTGATACTGTAGATCAACTTCTATATCTACTATATATATAACATATGTTACCGGTTGAATGCAAACAATATGCTAATTCCCATCTCGAGACCTATGTAATTGATTATAGTAGGGACTCATTGTTCGATCTTGTCAGCCCAGTTGCCAGGGTCACTGAGTGTGGCCAGGGTCAACTGCATGTGTATGTAAGGACATGGCCGGGCCGCTCATGGATATTGCTTGGATTGTAGTTGAACTTTACAGGAAGGGGGGCCCCAAGTTTATAGTTGTGTTCTTTCACCCAGACTGGCTTTGACCTTCTTCTCCCACAGAAACATCGAGAAATTGTGGCCTATCTCCGGGCCAAGACGCCCAGGTCAGTCATGCTATCAAATCCTTGCACTATGTTTAGCCATTTGATGAACACCTATTGGGCGAGAATGGACCCTGCTGTGGTGAAGAAGCGGTGGAAGGAAGCTATGACCCTGCTGAAGTTCGTTGGTAGTAGCATATGTTATCATGAGCATCGGTGATATCTTCATGGAACATCCCACTGGCGCGAGTAGCTGGCGACTTCCGGGCCTTGATCAACCACCCTGACACTGGCTGGTGACATTTCACCAATGTCGCTTTGGGTTGCGAGCTCCTCTGGGTGGCTTTCCAACGCGAAAAAGAGATCTTCCAACTGTAGACATATCCATGCAATAAACCCCAGATAGACTATACCAATGATGTAAAATAATCCCTTCCCGCTAATATCCAATACCCCAATGCTTGGGACACATGTAGGTGGGTATCTAAAAAAAAAGTGAAGGGATGTGAAGGGATTGTATCCCTAATTATCATAGTTGGTGAATCCACTATATCCCAGATACATATATAATCATATATAATCATATACAATCATATATAATCATATATAGTCATATATAATCATATATAGTCATATATAATCATATATAATCATATATTATCATATATATCATATACAATCATATATAATTGTATATAATCATATATCATCATACATAATCATATATAATCATATATAATCATATATAATCATATATAATTGTTTATAATCATATATAATTATATATATATATCATCTATATATATCATATATATATATATATATCATATATTTTATGTCATACACATATATCCCCATATATCCTATATACATATCATCTCCCCAAGTTCCTACCGCTGGCAACCCAGTCCCCTGGACAACCTTTCCGCATCCACATGTACTCCAATGTGCGGGGCCCAGCTATACCAGCTATGACTTGTGCGGGGCCCGCATCAAAGGGAGGGTGACGAAAATCGCCATGTAGGATTTATTGGTTGGGAATCTTCGTTGATTTTTGGAAGATCGTTCGGAACACACAGATATATATATATATATGTGGTTTCTATTTTGTTTTTTTCACATCTTCAGGAACAATGTACGGGGTTCATAGTTTCATGCAGAGGTGTTTCTGAGCTTAAACCCATTCCGAGATTCGCAGAAAACCTGATGCTTTGAAAATGAACAGTCCCAAAATTGCGCCAGTGAAATGCAAAGATGAACTGTTCCGTCAGTCTGCAATGTTCACCAGAGCACAGTGAGTTTGACCCACAGCATACAGAGATTCTTTTTCAAAGATCTTGGAAGTAAATCGCAGAGCCCCTCATGATGAATGATACAACTAGTGTTTGATATGCCCATTGATTTCTAGTTTTGCTTCAGAAACACAAAGAGCCCAATTGCATTGAAAGTGTGTACCCTCTGGTAAACTAACAGCTTGCTATTGAAGATGGCTTATTTATAGTGGATTTACCCATTAAAAATGGTGGATCTTTCCAAAGTTGTTTGTAAACGTTTACCAGAGGGTAACCATCATATATCCCATTAAATCCCATTAAAATACCATAAAATCCCATTAAGTCCCATTTTTCCATCATTTTCTAGGTGGGTTTTCTCATAATTGGCCCCTCATGGCACGGTGCAGGTGGCAGGCTCCAAGGTGGACACCATCAAACAGCATCTGGGCAGCCGATGGGCGCTGTCCCACGGAGCCCGCGGGAAAAGATCGATGCGGAAACCCAAAGATATGGTGTTTCCTATGGTGTTTCCATCGTTGTTCCATTCTTGTTTCTATAGATGTTTTTTGTTGGTTTCGAAGTTTCGAAATGTTAAAAAACGGAGTGGAGTTGTCTTTCAGCGTGTTTCGATATCGATGTTCGCTGAATTCTCCATTGGTTCTGCTTTGTTTGAGCCATGATTCACAACTGCGATAGTCCAGCGAAGGTCACTGACGGGACCCCGAATGGAATCCATGGGTTTCGTTTCAAAAATCAGTGACAGAATTTGGCGAATGGTCGGAACGGTTGTATCACCAGCAGAGTTGATACAATAAGAGATAATCAGAGGATATCAGAGGCAATGAGGTTACTTTTTATGCATTTTTTGGCTGGTGGTGATGGATTATGAATGATTATGATAAGTTGTTTCATTTCTTTGTGGGTCTTGTTGGAAAGGAGAGGTTAACAGGAAGATCTCCAATGAATCACTCCAGAAATTGTTTGATGCCACAACCATTGATCGCTGGGTATGTCCATTTTGGATCCATTTGTGTGTATGGGTTCTCCCCGCATGACCTGAATAGTGTCCATCATGTGTTGGTGAAAATTCCACGGTAGAGGGGCCGCAATTGAACACTAGAACTACTTGGATGATATTCCAGATATTTCCGGATCGTCCAAAAACAATATTGAAAATCACCACGTGTGGCTGGTAGATCCCTAGTTTTTTGGGCTTATTGAAGTTAGTATTTTCCCAGTATGATTGTTTGGTGCAACACCGGTAAATCATCCGTAAATAGCGATTCTACGGACACGTAGTGTATTTTTCAGTGGTCAAATCAAATCATGTGAAAAAAATGTGATGGTACAATCACCGAAATCCTCTCTTTTTAAACACCTACTTCCATTTCCATCATCATCATCATCATCATCATCATCATCATCATCATCAGGTCGCTGGTTTGGAACATTGTTTATTCTCCATACATTGGGAACAATATTCCCAACTGACTTTCACTCCATCATTTCTCAGATGGGTAGGTCAACCATCAACCAGTCATCATCATCATCAACAAATGATGGTTAATGATGATTAACACCACCTATTGCCAACTGATGGTTACTAATGTGGTTAAATCATCACCTTCCACTGAGCCTTCCTGGTGACCCCCTGGCGATTGCTCCGGGAGCAGCCCGAGGTATTTGTCCATCGAGGCGTTGCCTGCGGTCTTTGAGGTCCCAGGGCACCTTGGTGCTTTGGGTAGCGATGTTTGAAACCCCCAAAAAAGGTGCAGAAAAGGTATGATGTGTTTGAAAAGCTTACATCTTTACTGTTATTCTGAATATTCTTGAGTTTATTTTTGGTCAGACTTTACCTTTTACGTTTTTTTTATTTGTTTTGGGGGGTGTTGCTGTAGTCATGGGTATAACCGTGGTGAGTGGTTGCCCCAGACTGCTGAATGGCCTGACATGGTGCCAGTTGTTTGATGTTTGATCTCTGGGATGGTGCCAGTTGATTCCATGAATCGTTTTTGAGATGAGCTGAAAACACCAACCAGATCCAACCATGATCCAACCAGTTGCCTGGTATAGGGAATCCATGGGAATCCTATCATTTCTTGCCAAATATCATGATCGATTTGCTGAAGATTAGTAAGTTATTTCAATCTGGGTAAGGCTGAGAAATGCCCATGCCACTGTGTGGTGTCGTGGACGGAGACGAAGATGATTACGGTACAATCTCACCATCTCGTGACCTCAAGATGCTCAGCGCTAGAAGGATGCAGGGCCACGGAGCTTGCAGGGAAGGCCTCGGTTAAATCCAGCGAAGGCCTGCATTGATGGAAAGTGGGAAAGTGGCAGGTCAGGCCAAGAGTGCAGCAACTGGAATATGACACTTTGCAACTATGTCCATTGTCATCATATGTAATCATTATATATTATATGTGAAATATGGAATATTCACTGGATAGTTGTTACTTTGCAACTATGATGATATATTATATAATATATGTGAATATTTGCCAACAACTCTCCAGTGAATGAAACAATTTTCCATGGAGCTCGGGGTATTCGGTCGTATTTCCTTTTTTCGCCATCGAGAGCCCGTTGGAGCTATGAATTGAGTTTCCCAACCTCATTGTAAATCATAGGTTTGTTCCTAGATATAGATAGGCATTTAGTATTTAGAATGATTTTACATCCAACCAATCATTGGTATAGTGGGCATACAATGGGGATTATATATATATGTGTATTTCAATGTCAAGCTTAGGCTTGTGAGGTAGACGATTATCCAGCCACTTCCCCCATAGATCCAACATGCGACTGGCTGGGGGATATCCGTTCTTTGAACAACAACCTGTCACTTGTGAGGTAGTACTTCGATGTACTTCGTATAATCCAGTTTTTTTAATATACAAAGTGCAATATTTCCAACATAGAATCATCGTCTTTTTTTGCTGCTCCAACCCCAAATCGTATTAATAAAATCCCAGACGTATTGTTGTTTAAATCTCAGTTTTTTTGTCGCTTAGATCCAAAATTTTTGTAATTGTTGGTTAAATCCACATGTTTTTGTTGGTTGCACACCCCACGTTGTTCAAAGTTCAATAAACATGACAGAAGTGCAGATTTCAATTGGTGGAAAAACCCATGGCTTTGTTACATCCCCATGTTCACCAGTGAAGATCATCGAATTTGGACGCTGAGGATTCTGGAATTCTTCAATGTGACCCGCATCGATGGGGCACCTTGTCGTGTTTCTCTTAAGCGCGGAGTCTGTGGGGGAAAGGCACCATCCCCGAGTCATCACCATGTTTGTGGGTTGTAAAACCATGG